CCCGGCCCGGGAAAAAGCAAATTGGAAGTCTAAGCAAACTGGCCTGAGCCGTCTCTTGTTCATGGAGGGTTGCGCCCAACCAAAAACACACCAAAATGAAAGTGGCTTGGTTGGCTGGCTTCCTGTTCCTCGGCAATCAATGTGTCAGTGATCCGAGGACGCAAGACGTGCCAGGGCAACCGCATGAACCCTTGACAGCCTCTAGCCCCAACGAAAAACCATTTTCGCCGACAGTGGTAAAACCCCACGCGCGAAAGCTTGCGAAAGCTTCGCGAAGGTCCTGCGAAAGGCCTGGAAAAAATGAAAGGACTTTTGAACAACCCCCATATGAGAACAGTACTGCCAAACACTACATGGAAGCCAGGAGAGTTTCATAGATTTCCCTGCAATCAACAGTCATCAACAGTCCAATTCTGTTTTTGCTGTTCATTCATGTCTGCATTTTCTTTTGCATTTCCCCATCCACTTCGCCATCAGCTGGCGTCATGCTTATCTTTTCAGGTGGCTATCTACCGGGAGAACATGCTTCACTGCGGTCTGGCCGTGGGCTTTCTTCTGGCGATACAGCTGGTGGGCCCCGGCGAGTTGGAAGATGTCTTCTGGTCCAAGCATCCAAGCAAGGTCTAGTCTAGTAGGAAGATTTCAGGAAGTAGGTCTGGTCGGAGCGGCTAGGTCTGGTCATCCCTAATCGATTGCTTCAACATTGAAATCCAAACAACCTCAGCGAACACCACCCAGGTTTTCGCTGCGAAATGACGCTCATCGGTTGACGGGACGATCCAACTGTTTCCCAAGGCTCCGTTGGGCGCCACAGCTCGGTGCCCTTGTTCCTAGTAGTTTCTTGCTCTAAATTGCGTCGTTGAGCTTCCAAGCTCCATCTTGGACTGTTCTCACTCCTGACTGCCCCTTGAACTTCGATTGATGTGGTTTGCAAAGTCGCAGAATGAACTAGCCTTTGTTCGGCTCGGACAGTTGAAACCTGTGAGGAAAGTGGTCACAAGACTTCTGGGAGAGTCACTGGGACAGCTTGACAGGTGCCAAGGATCTTTGAGGCCAGAGGTTACTGGCCTTGGCTTTTACATGTTCTTGCTAAGGTCCCGGACGTGCCAGAGAAAAAACCATGTTACTGTAGGGCTGTACACTGCCGCTGACAACAGCTGCTACCAGAGGGTTCAACTGCCACGAGACCGGGTTCAACTGCCGCTTTCGCAGAATGGAGATGGCTGACGGGAGTTGAGCGGACGCACCAGAAACAGAGTGAACGGAGGGTTGAGGAATCTGAGATCCCTCCTGGTGTGTTCTTTGCTGAGGGCAGCTGCCAGAGGGCTTCTTGAACCGTTCTGAGATCGCTAGTTCGAGAAACTCTGTCCATTTGCAATGCTTTGCGGCGCTGTGGACTATTTATGGTTCCAACGATGGCCTGTATTGAATCGAATGCTTTGCTCATTGCTCCAATACTGTAGCCTTCAAGCGCTGTTCTGGGAGCTGTGTACATAACGCCCTGCACCTGTGTCCTGTGTCCAGAACATTTGGGCTATTCATGCTGTGCTCCATGTTGCGATAGCTTAGGACTTGGACTTGTTGCCAGGCTTTGCCCCAAACCGCCAGAGATTCACTTGAGGTCTAGTTCTAGCACAACAGAAAGACAACTTAGGCATAGTCTTCATAGACTACTGTAAATACTTGGCCATCCAG